GGAAAAGGTACATTTAGAATAGAAGAGAAAGAGGGATAAATAGTTGGACAAGTTACTTGAGGTAAGACGATGACGGGTTGTGATAGATACAGGTGGGTCTCAATCACAGAAGGGCGGGTCCCTTTCANTTACATAGGTTTCGGGTGTACACTTCTGTAATATATCTTCTATATATCACATTATGTATTCACCACCCAGAGTCAGTTCTCCTTCCATCACCATGTATTTGACCCCCTTTACCCTCATCTACCACCCCCTCCCCCCTTACCCTCTGGTAACCACTAAACTAGTGTCTGTGTCTATGAGTTTTGTTTCTTCATTTGTTTTTCTTGTTCTTTTGTTGTATTCATAGATGATTGGATAAAGAAGATGTGGTATATATACACCATGGAATAGCACTCAGCCATAAGAAAAGATGAAATAGTGCCATTTGCGACAACATGGATGGATCTTAAGGTTATAATGCTAAGCGAGATAAGTCAGACAAAAAAAGTAGAGAACGATGTGATTTCACTGATATGTGGGCTATAAAACTGGAAACCCTTCTTACTATTCAGTGTTATGAGGTGCAAGCTTCAAGAAAGCCAGTGGCACTTAAATTGGGTTCAAGAAGTGTTAGTTTTGCCTTAACTTCTGCAAGTAGCCTCCTTTCAGAACTGTGACCAAGCACCCTCTTCTAAGACGGCAACTTTCATTTCTTTAAGCTCTCCTGTCAAAACAACCACACCTTCCCTTCAGACCATACTCGTAGGCATGCATAACCTTCCCTTGGAGAAGCCGGACTTCTCCCTGATGTCAGTCTTTCTCTGAAAGAAAATTCTGTGGGTCCCCATGAGGGAGGTAGCATTACTCAGCAAGTGATGGTTCAGAACTCAGAAGTGGAAAGGCAGTTTACCCAGCAAACAGGAAGAGGAGGATGGTTAAAAGCGCGTGTGCATGTCTGTGTAAGAAAATGAATGGGATTTGCAAGGAAAAGTTGCAGCCCTCCCCTGGGAGGATTAGGGAAGCCCTGGAGAAGTGTCAGCATTTGCCTGTCCCTGTCCCTTGGTGAGCGGACACAGCACCTGGACGTGTCTAGGACCTTCATGTTCACTCCCTGAGCCTTGAGGTTTGAGTGCAAGTGTAACCCAGCAGCCCCAGGAGAGCCCTGGGGTTCAGAGACCAAACACCCCCTATTTATTTTTCAAACACAGACACACTGGCCACTAGGTTATAGGAAGAATGAGGAAATGAACAAAACGTTTGATCCCCCTCTTTTTTCTTATACCTGGGATTTCTTTCCTGAGTTTCCTGGATCCCCCCCCCCCATGCAAGGACCACTTGCAGGGCAAATTTTCGGTGGCTACTTCCTTGGCCAGGTAACAAAATCTGTGTCCTGAGAAACTGACCTGAGCAAAGAGGAGGGAAAGGTTAGACATACTTGAGTGGATGGATTTAGCAAAGACCAGATTTCCATCCTATCTTGTTCACACTGCACTTGGGGAATGCAGTCATTTTCCTTAAGACAATTTTTAACGTCCCGGTTTCACTGAAGGATTGTTTCATGTTTTTCGTAGAGAAGATGTACATATTTCTGGTTGTAAAAATATACTTACCATCCAATGTTAAAGATTTCAACACTCCACTGTCATCATGTGCCAGTCACTGGCAATTTTTCAAGGACCCGCCCTCCCCCATTGATGACCACATCCTTTGTATCTAGTCACCTCTCTGCTCAGGGGTCCCACCCCCCTTTGGTCGCTTTTGTTTCTTTGCAGTTGGGGCATTGCTTCCTCAACGCCTCTCCCACCCGCCTCCCCCCAGACCCCCTCGCGTGCGGGCACAAGAATCACACGTGGGTCACATGACTCCACGGGCCTCCTGCCCGTTTCCTCCTGACAAGTGCATGCGTGGCGGGCGGACGCCGGGCTTCTGAGGCTCTTCCCGGCTCTCCATCCGTCTGCGCACCCCTGGCTCTTTTCTCGAGCCTGTAGCTCCGCTCGCAGGCGCCGAGTTCTGGCGGAGTTGGCACTCTGCGGGCGCGCGGCCTCTGCCCGTCTACCCTTCTCCCGCTCCAGTTCTGTTTCCTACTGCCCTGTCTACCTGTCAGGAAATGGATGGACACACACTCCCCACCCCACCCCCTTGTTAACTTGCCCGCAACCGGCTGCCTGGAATCAGGGAACCGAAAGCTTGGTGGAAGGAGGCTTGGGGGTTGCGTCTAGGACCGGGGGATCCCCTCCAGCCTTGGGGCCACCTTCTATCCCTCATCTCAGATGACGGGCAGGAGCCCTCCGCTGCCTCCCAGCCGCTTAGCTGGGGGGAAAACGAAGGCCGGGCAGCGAGCACCCGGCCCACCCGCGCGCACCCACGTGGGCGGCCCAGCGCCTCGGCAGCAGGTGCGGGCCGCGCAGGGCGGGCCGCGAGCGCTCGCCGGCCCCCTCTCGACCCCTTCCTCTCTCCTGCGCCTTTTGAGGTGGCCCCAGTCTTAGCGCCACAGCGCCGCTCCGCTTCCCACCTCCGTTCGTGCTCCCGATCCCCCTCCGCTCACCGCCGTCACCCGCGACCCGAGCCCCGGTCCGGGCAGCTGCGGAGCCGGAGCGCGGCGTCTGCGGCCGAGCGCCCCCGGGGCCCTTGGCTGCAAGCCCTCCGCTCGCCCGGCGCGGCGGGCAGCGGCTGCGAAGGCGGGAGAGCGGGCCGGGGAGGCGCCGCCGCAGCGCGGGAGGGACGCCCCCGCACGCCCGCCCCTGTGTGCTCGTCCTTCTCGTGCGTTCATTGGCGACTCATAAGCTGGGGCACGTCCGGGGCTGTGTCCTCGGCAGCTCGACCCCCGCCGCCCCAGCTTCACAAGCGGCGCAAGCTTGTGGGTCCCTGTCGGGGTGTGTAAGAGGTGACCTGTGTGTGCCTTGGGGGGTTAAATTCTAGGGGTGGGTGCAGGCAAAACGCGAGCAGCCCGAGTCTTGGCAGGAGCGGCTGGGCGGGGGCGACCCTCCGCATCAGGCGAGGCGACAAACCGCCAAAGTTTTCCTGCCGCCTTTGCCTCCGGCGCGCCCCTGCCTCGC